ATAATGATGATTCTGCAACACGACTGTTGTTCATCATCACATCGACAGCAAAACAGCTGATTGTCGCCCATAGTTAAGGGTTGCTAAAGATATACCTTACCTACTTTACTATGAACAGTGAGCTGATCGTTTTAGCTCCACCTGTATGTCACCTTTCTTATTGGTTTTGTAATTTTTTTTGACCAACTAGGTATCTTTGATATAGAATAGTACTTGTGCTCTTGTGGTGAGAGCTGTCTACTAGCCAAATTAGTAGACAGTAATTTACGTCAATATTTATGTTCCCAAGATTTGTCGTGAGAAAATGTGAACAAAGACTGATTCAAAACCGACCACAGCAGACTTTGCGTAGGCGGATGCAGTTAGCATATAGAGGATTTGACATTCAAGAAACAGTCACAAATAGATGAAAGATTAACTTTACGTGAGAAACAACCAATCGGAAGACTGTTTGTTTGCTTAAATAACCATAGTAATGTACATGGAAATATATAAATATGCGTTGATTTCCTTAATAAATGATCTGTTGCCTGACTCTTGCCTTCTGTCGTTACACTCTGTGATAGAGTATAATTCCATTGTGGGTAAAATTTATTTTTGATAAAGTCTCACAGTGGTATACAGTAACATTTACTGAGAAAATTGTGTGAGAACCTTGATATGATTATGAGCGATGAATTGCGCTCGAAACACCATCAGCAACTAGGTATCTCCTTAAACTCTATTAAACTGACTCATTTGTATGGGAAGATGAATAAGTTGCAGATTAAAAGTAATTTACTCTGTAGTTATCCAACTTCAATCTGCAAGAATAAATATATGCCATATTCTAACGTCAGGGTGTTAAACTTAATCATTACCTATATGAATAGTAGCAAGAAAATGATTCTTTACGAACGGCAACTTTTCAGTAAGTAAAGTTACGATGAGCATAAATGGCTCTGTGCTCACCTTGAAACTTGATATTTTTGTCATCGATTCACTCAAGGAACAGCATTGGTGTAAAGCTGTATGCTACGATGAAAAATCTATCTGATGCTTTTTGGGTATAAGTGGTCACATGACTGATGATAATGTAAGAAAAAAGCGCCTTTGTCATTCTTGAGTTACAAATTCTTCAGATGAACGGATGTTTCGGAAGTAAGGGAGAACTAGAAGAATACTCTTGGTTGAAGAGCTCGAACACCAAGACGAACATGACAGAGTTGATTACAATGGATAAAATCAATAAAGAAACGAAAACTCATTCACTAAGACCTGAGTATGAATAATTTAACACAGATCCTCTAATCCTAAATTACGTTCAGAAAATACTTCACATAACAAAATATCAATCACACTTCAGATCTACCTACCAAGCTGCATTTGTTTTTAAAGTAGACAATATCACACGTTTTATGTATAAACCGCATCCAGGCACTAACGAAGACAAAACACGTAGATCAGCGAAGAATCTCTTTTCGGCAAATTCACTTTCTTAGCTGTACAACCGCAAATATATGTGTCATTTTGTATGAATGTGTACATTAAGTTTGTCGCACAAAAATACAATTGGTTATAGTTATTATAACTAAACAGGTGAAGATTGGTAATTGGAGTTACGCAATACAAAATCAGTCAAGAAAATTAGGTGTTAATGAAATTAGGGTAGTAACAAAGGTGATGAGTTATCACAAACAGTTGTTAAAAGAAGTTAAGTAATAATATGAATAGTTTGATGAGTGAGTTTTACTCAGGATACACATAGGAACAAAGTAGATAATACGAAATTACGTAAGAGTTCTAAATGAATACAAGAATTATAAGCAATTAAAGAACAGGCAAAGAAACAAAATTAAGTCATCAAAATCAAAAAAGTTGTTACCAAGACAGTAGAAGTGGTTGAGTAATCTTCTTTTGTATGCACAGCTCCGGTTTTTCTATGTGAATGGCCAGAGCTTCAGCGATACAAAGAAGACGAAACCGTATTGCCTTTGATAGGTTATTCTTGACTCTGTAGACTACTTTGAAGGAAGCGTTCGTTGAAATGGAGTGATCAGTGTTAACCAGGTGTTCAATTATCACACTCCTTAATGCACCACTATTGCCTTTTTGTAACCATGCTGGATAGTGTTCTTGAATCCTCTTGGACAGGGTGCGCGTCGAACGACCGATGTACCTGGCTCCACAGCAGCAGGTGAACTGATATATGCACATAGAAGTGGTCAGATGCGGGATCTTGTCCTTGAGGCTTCTGCAGATCAGTGGGCGACTGGAGAACACTATTCTTAGCGTTGTTGCAAAGAATGTTCTTCTCAGAGATGATGTGATCCTTCTCTTGAGAATATCGCTTGCTAAATCTCCCTTGAAATCTAAGTTCATGTAGAGTTTCTTTTTAGTCGCAATTAAAGTTTCGTTTCTCCGAATTCTTGGTTTGATATTTTTGTCGATGAATCTTATTGGGTATCCATTTTGGATGAAAATTTCTCTTAGAATATCTAATTCTGTTTCCAGAACGTTGGGACTACGATGCGGGTGGCAAGTGATTTAATTAAATTCCGCTTTTGTTGAATGGGTACCCAGCTATAGAAGCTTGTTAGTTGACCATTCCAAGTAGGTTTCCTATGGATCGATCTTCTTAGGCTCCCGTCAGTTCTTCTTGTTAGTTCCACATCAGGAAACGGAATTTTTGACTCGTTTTCCATTTCAAGAGTGAATTTTATTGCTGGATGGCAACAGTTAAATGTCTTCAGCAGTGGATTGGGGTCATTGTTGTTGTCACAAATAATGAATATGTTGTCTACGTATCTTTTATACAGTCGCAAATTGTCAATGCTCGGCTTTAGTGGACCTTTCTCAAGGCTTGCCACGAAGCAATCTGATAGTAGTGGGACCCACGGAGATCCCATTGCAATACCATCTTTTTGTCTGTATATGGTGTCATTGAATGTGAACTGGATGTTCAGAATGCATCTCTAATATATACACAGGTGAATCATTAATATTCATTATTTATTTCCTACACTAGCATAATCATTGATTTCCCGCATCTGCGTGATTATTGATTTTAATTACTGAATTCCCATGGTTTGTTAATATGGAAACGGTCTGCTTGATATGCAAATATATAGATGACAACCATCTCAATATTGGAATACCAACAACATATTTGAAGGAATTACTATTGAGATTGTTATGTATGAGATATTAGGACCTTGTAGACTACGAGCGAATCTAACTAATGCACTGGGAAACATTCGTCTTATTTCCCATTTAATTGTATGTGATCAATAACACTCATTATTATTTCTGAATGTACATCATCCTATATTGATTTTTATTCAAATATCTAGTCAATTCCATACATATATATAAATGAAGGAAAAAGTTGTGTGAGTAACTTGATATGATTATGAGTGGCAATATTTTGTGCTCGAAATTTTATCAGTTAATATTACTGTGTATCACTGTATGATTTATCAAAATAAAATCTTATCCATAATGGAGTTACACTCTACCACCGTGCCCAAGTTTTATACTTATATCAATAATTTTGTATTAGGTAACTCCAATTACCAATCTTCACCTGTTTAGTTAAAATAACTATAACCAATTGTATTTTTGTTTGACAAACAATGTACACACACATACAAAATGACACATATATTTGCGATTGTACAGCTAAGAAAGTGAATTCGCCGAAAAGAGACTCTTCGCTAATCTACGTTTTTTGGTTTTAAAATCACAAGAGACTTCATATTCACCTAACATATCACCATAAAACTGCAATTTTAATAATTCAGTCGAGAAGCGGCAGTGGGGAAATGGTTAGGATTTTCTGCATTGAACAAGGTACTGGCCAAGTCTGGCGGCTCACTTACAAGATCTAACTACTGAACAAGTCTTCGGTTACTAAGAATTTTGCGGAGTTCTTATTTGCAGGGTATATGAGTGGACGTTTTTCACCATCATCATACTAGGTATCCTGTCTGGCTTTCTCTTTCGACTTTATTGATGTTGAACTGGAGAGAAGGAAGCAATAATTGGAAACATTTATTTCCGGTTAAGAATTTAAAACAAGCAGCAAAAGTTAATAAAGCAGGATTTGATGAGTTTATCAAATTTCGGTAGAACTCTTCATCTGGATACTCTACAAATACGGATATATATATATATATATATATATATATATCATTAGAATTAAATTGGTATGTAAAGGACTAATAAATTATCAAACTGCGTTTGTGGAAGTGAATACATAGGTCGTACAGAAAGGCGATTGTCTACTGGCATGATGGAGCGTTTGACAAGGTGGTTGAAAACAGCTGAAATCAAAATACCTAAAACTTCAATAACAAAGTGTCCTGTGGACTTCGGATATGATACTAACGCTGTCAAGTCATTCACTGGTGTCCACTGGCAAGGAAACAGGAAGATGCTTGTAATTGTGGAGGCCTGTACAATTAGAGTTTATAAACCAGATCTCTGTGTACCAAAATTCGGTGAATTAAATCCTGCTTTTACTTTTGCTATTTGAAGTAATAGTTAGTTGAAGTAAAACCATCTGAAGTAGCTTTACTTTGTCACACTTATGTTTTATGTAGTGACGTGGAGAATGAGTCTGGAACGAAAACCTGAGTTACTGTGGTATATGAAGAAACTATGGATTTGGCTAGTAGTGAGTCATGTAGCAAAAGACTACGGTCAATACAGAGTTAATCAGTAGCTGAGTTTCACAGGTTTACCTCAGAATCTCAGGCTAGCTACTTGAAGACAGCCTTTTCAAATAATGCTGCAATCCAAATTCCTGATTTAACAACACAGTTATAAAGTCTTAAATACTTTGCTAACAAATGATGTAGGCGGATATGATGACCAGTAACAGATTCATCACAACCTTGGCAACATTTAAAGTAGTTAAGCGAAGAAAATACAGTACCAGTCAAAAAAAATAACTATTTACAGAATTAGTTTATACAAAGTTACAAGCTAGAAAGTGTGAACAGTAAAGGTATTGTTTTCTATTTCTGTTTACGTGTTTTGCGCTGTTGGTTTTCTTGTTTTAATGCTTGAGCAACAGCTAACTTCTCACGTTCTTTAGCTTCATTAGCGTACCATAAAAATTTGTCTTCCTCTGGTTCACGAAGCACATCTAACTTGCGCTCTTCCACAACTTCATTAAATAACTCTTTCATTAACTTCTCAGCATCAGCCTTCTTAGATTCCGAATCATTCGAATCAACCAAAGAGCTAAGATCCGCTAGTAGACTTGACAATACAGAATTTTTTCGGGCATAAAATTCTTTTTCAGATGAAGATAGTGTTGTTTTTAAACCAGCAAGTTTGGCGAGACGCCGCTATAAGTGAGATTAAAAACAAAAAATACAGTACTTAGACAATAAATTTGGACAAAGTGACTGATTAAAAACCCTGTACAAAAGTGTATTAAGTTAAATAAACACACTATGGAACAATTTGGTGGATGATGACTAGCAGTGGAATCCAAGATGCGCGCTTCGTCCTATTTGAGACTCATCATCTGGATGTACATGCATTTCCCCAGTGAGTGGTTGTCTTCCCACTGAAGCTCGGACCCGGTGACCATCGTTTCAAACGCCAAAACGTTATCCACGAGAGCCACCTCTTGTGCAATGGGTATCAATTATTATTTAATTCGGTTTGGACTTAACCGTTGATTGATTGGACCGAAATGCTCCGCCTCTGTTGACATATCGGCTCCTTGTGAGGATGCTTCGACGATGTCCGAGAATTTAACTTTAAGTAATTTGGTGGATGGTGACTAGCAGGACGAAACGCTCATCCTGGATACCACGGGAAAATCAAAATCGAATTAAACACCATGTAACAGCATATAAAGTTGTGAACAGATATAAAAAACACTGTAACCTATAAAACTGACTGTGAGAGGAAAGTGATCAACTATATAAAGTAATGGACAGCTGTTTCGCCCTAGTTTGGGAGTCTTCATCAGTATGTGCTTACTGGGCTTCGAACCCAGGACGGTCGCGCTAAATATGTAACACGAATTAGCAGAAGTTAGAATTCATGGACCATTGCGTCGGGTGGCTGAATGATCTATGAGCTCGCCTCGTAACCGGAAGGCCCTGGGTTCGAGCCCCGACGGGCGCCTAATGATGAAGAGTCCCAAGCTAGTTCAAAACAGCTGTCTAGTACTCCCACATTTCCGAATGGTTTTCTAACTGATGTCAGCTCGTGATCAATCCTGTAACCAACACTTGACAATTAAATAAAGCTTAGTAAAATATATCAAACTTTTCAAGTCTAAAGAGTGAATACCTTTGAAACGTAGTAAGCGATTTTGATTATAAGCACCTTAGAGACTCCAATCGGAAAACGAATTTATTTTTATTATACTCTAACCAACAACCAGAGGCTTCATGGACTGGTGCAACAAATCGATCTGAATACTTTGAAAGCCTTATTATATTTCAGTTGCATCATCACGCATAACACATGCCCTAACCACTCTAGTCAGTTCAAATTTCTTAATCTTACTAACTGGTTTATCGTTCTTGCTTAACGCTTTATGTTTACTTGTGACTCCAGCTAACATGTTAAATTTGATGAACCCACCAATAATAGAGAACTTTAGAGCTCATGTTTAGAAGTTGTAAAGTATGACAGTGCAAACTCTGCACCCACTACCTCTTCAAATCTCGATGATATATGTAAGCGCTAGACTTCCGCATTTAGCCTCTAACTTTTGTGCCCCACTGCACGAAGGCAGTAAATAGGACTTGTTTGGTAGAGGCTCTGAACACGTAGCTACATGAGGGCATATAGAGAGGTGAGTCAAAGTCTAGGTAGTTTGTATGTTTTATGTTAACACTGATTGCATTATCACATTTCTTCATCTGTTCTTTTTTTATTGTGTTGACTTTTGATCATATAGGTCCACTTTTTGCCTCCCTTTTTATTGGTTTCTACTAGATGTGAAAACAAATAAAGCATAACAAATTGAAAGACTATGAAGTGGTCTAGTGGATAACACTTTGACGTTTGAAACTATGGGCACTGGGTTTGAGAGTTAGTGGGAAGACAACCACTCACTGCAGAATACAAATACATCCAGATGACGAGCCCTAAATATGACGAAATACGCATCTTGGATTCCACTGCTGGTCACCATCCACCAATTTACTTCAACTATGAAGTAATGTTGGATCTCATCTTAATAATGTTCATCTGTCACAAACAATCGATTTACACTTTTATCATATTCTTCAAATTGTGACAAGACGAATATCAAGTGAATCAGAGCATTGTGTTATGTCACATGTTCATCCATTACACTTTCCTTGGCCTTTTATAGAGTTAAATCTTTTTATCACTAATAATACATCTTTCTTAGTTTCCTCAAAAGATGTAAACTTCGTTACAGTATTCCGCGTTTTCATTTTTAATGTGACATTCCAGAAAAAAACTGTTAGGAAATATATGCGTATTCTTAAAACTAACATCAACCATCGTTTTACTCCTATTGTTACTTATCATAATTCTTAATGTGAAGCTTTTCAGCTGATCTGTCGTACAGATTTAATCTCACCAGTTTTGTAATCATAAGCATTAATAAGCATTTAATTTTGCTAAAACAACTCACCTGATAAAATTCATTTCGCATCGACCGTTTACGTTCAGCTGTTGGATCGTTTGTGCATACTCGATATGGATCAATATGTTGATAACGAGTGATTTTTAGAGCAGATGTAATTCTATTAAACTCTGATGTATTTGTAGCGCGTAATAATCTCAGAGCTCGCCAACGAGCTGTCATAAGACAATTAGTTGCACGTTTCAATGTAACACACTATAAACATATGGAAAAAGTTGCATGAACGTCAAACTGTATCACTTACACGAGGATGCTCTTTTAGACGCCACTTTTTGTAACGTAACTCTAGTGTCATTCGGATAACTTTTAATAATAAGAATTAAAATTTTTGATTACCTTGTGCAGCTAGTGATTCATCTGTAGGTTTGAAGCCTAATTCATTCAATGTTTTGACCAAGTTTTCTTCAAATACCATTCTCTATTGAAACAAAGTTTATTATATATACATTTATCAAAAGTAATAAAACTTACTCTATAGATAAATTTATATGTAAACATATTTTTGCAGCGTTCATCTAAGCTATTGGATGAATGAATTAAATGAACAAAATAGGTTGAATAATTTAATACCTTTGGAAATCTCTTAATGACTCAACCGATACTGGATATTGACTTCCAGGTTTCGGTTTATAAGGTTCATTTTCCCCTTTTAGAAATAAAAAAACAACAGACAGGTGAAATTTGTATTAAACGGAAATCTGAAGCGATTAGTCTCTTTACAAATTTAGGCAGAGCTTTTAGGAAATGAAGTTTATCTAGAAAATGTGATGCGTGTCATAACATTTCAGACAAGCTGAACGCACATCTACCAGTCAAGTCAAACTATATGAGACAAAAAATGAACGAAAAGTCAGTTAACATAAACAAAACAGTACGTTTATGAGGTGGGAGCATCATAATGGAGAAGTAATAAATAGATTGTGATGACACTCTGAGCAATCGGAGTAATCGGATGAAGATTGATGATTAACGTAAACTAAATTACTGGTGCACACAAAAACGGTGATTAATTCTCAGTGTATGCCTACGTCAATTTTCGTATAAAATCTTGAAGGCCATTATCATGTTAATTTTACTACCCATATCTACAGTGTTTTGTTATAAACTTCAAAACGGCCTTAGAATTTTTACACATAAAATTTCATAGGGATGTACTGAAATATACCGAAGCGAAAGTGATTCACGATTGGCTGAGCTGTCTGAATTTCTGCGCAGAACTTTACACACTACTGCAGCAGTTCAAGTTACCACAATTCATATAATTACATACAAGTAGAGGAAAAAAAATCAAAGGGAATACAGTGAAGAGAAATATACGGGAGAAAGAATAAATACATGGAGAAAAATGAAAATTTAGTCGAAGTGAGGGACTACTGAAAGTGAAAGTATCTGTGCCACTGAGAATGATTTTGAGCCATATCACCAGTAATCTTCAGCGATTGGTTCTTAGTATCTCGAGGTATCCAACCAGATATTTCACACAACTCTACATAACTCCAACCGATAACCAAGAACTTCGTAGATTGATGAAATGTTTTGACATTCACCGAATCTCCTACCTAATCCTATTTAAGCTAACACTGTTTGACAAGGAGGACGATCGCTTGTCATGCGTAACGTGTCCTAGCTATTTCAATGGGAGCAGTCACACAAACTCATCGGTTGACTTTCTTTACTTACCATACTACGGCTAATCTTACCACATCACAATACTTAACACTGGAGACAAAGTGCAAACATTTATGATCAAAGACAGCTAGTCTCTTCAAACTCTCCACTTTTTGCAGCCATAATCCCAGTCAAGAACTAGGACGGAACAATACATGCATTATTTGACCGCTAACCGGAAATCAATTCAACGCCAGAGATGACGTAATTTGGCGATTGCCGAACATGCACTTTGTATTTGTGTTGAGATTTCATCAGCGACCAGTGCATTTTGAGTGGAGTGAAGTGGTCAACAAATTCAACCATTATACTCCGTATCTTTAAAGTCAGTGTCAAAATAGAGTAGCCCTGGAGCATCACCTTTTAGTTGACAGGGACGAATAAAGTAATTCATAAGACATGTAACAAATAGTTCACGCAAAAAAGTCCCATGAATGACTTTATTCACTCTTTTGGTGTACACCAATAATTTATTGTTACATTTAACTTACCTTAACTGTCTTTATATTATTATATTACCAAGTATTATCACAACCTATTTATTATTCCTCTATTATATCCCTCCATACTCATAAACCTATTATTTTGTCTGCGTTAATTGATTTCCTGTTTTTCGTTTCATATAGCTTGACCTAGCTATTAGATGTATCTAGCTTGTCTAAAATGTGACATATCACACTATTGGATAAACTCCGCTTTCTAATAAAGTTATTCAAAATAAACAGGCACACCAATAAACTCACAATCCTCATGTTTAAGAATAGGTTTTTTCGATGGATGGAAAACACGAGGTGTACGAAGATGGTGTACATACCATCGGTCCAGTGATGAACTGACGCCTGAATGCAAAATAAAAAATAACAATTACAAATAATTACACAAAAACTTACAAATGGTTTTCTCGCACTGTGACAGAGGTAGATTTTGAGTCGCCGGCAATCGAGAAAAAAGACTTTTGAACAGTTTTAGCATCTCTCGGTCGCAGTTTTACTAAAAATATAGTTGAAAAAACTGTAGACAGCTATTCTACAGATGACTTGTTATCAAATTTTAGGGTTACTAACGAATTTCTCAAGAAATTCTCAGGCGATTAGATAGGAACCATTAGCAAATCTACAACAGAAAGGGATGATAGTAATGTATGGATACTTAAAACTTATATATATGTATATATACATCAGTTTTTTCTGGAGTTAGATGAAATTTAGTCGTGAATATGAAATGACAAAGATGTTTTGACGCATTTCCAAAATGTATAAAGTTGAAGTGATACTCAAACACCTAACGCCTTCTTTGAAGCAATAATTAGGGGGTGAAAATGACACAAAGAATCGTAAACGCTATTAGTTGAACCATTTAGGCGAATTGAAAATGCAGTACCGTAAATTATTGGGCTTCCTCGTGGCAATTTACAAAGGATAGCTCACCACAAAGCAAAGACTTGAGTGCGCTCACCTTTCTTCCCACTCCGAGCTTGCCGCGCCCTAGAACTCTATACCGGAAGATATTGCACCGCCCATGGAAAGCTTAAAGCAGAGACTGAGTAGTCATGCAGCGACACAAAGAGAGCATCCTAACGGCTTATCCCCTTAATACTCACACACTTAATGGGTATATGCCTAAACTCGTCTTTTCACTACTTCACATTCTCGCTTGTCTTACTCTTCTGACTACTCCAGCTATTGGTTCCCTTTATTATTATTATTACTATTGAAATACATATCAATTTCAGATTTTATTAGCTGTCTGTTTTTGCCTTTTCTTTATTTCTTTTTCTGTCTTTCAGTCTGAATAACCTACACTAATTATATCTGTTCTTATTATCTCTCCTTTTGACCACACCAGTTGACTCATGAGTGAAAGTACCGACTCCATACTCAGTAGTGACACGGCCTTAACACACAGCATAATACAAACCACATAAGCAATCCCAGCGCCACTCCTTTTGGAATCAACCAAAGCTACAACAGCCCAGTACCGGGAAAAACCATACAGAAGTTTAGCAAAGACCAGGATCTTCTACTTTACAGCCGAGAAGCGAGCACCAGCTCATAAAACGATATTGGAAATTCACGCAATGTAACCTTTCAATCTAAATTTGTTTTTTTTCAAATCCAACTACAGAAAGATACATGTTCAAACGTGACATCATAAATACGACTCCACTACTTGAAATTCTGCAGAATGAGTAAAATGGACTTTGAAAAATGCCATATAGCAGTGGTAAGACATAGAACACTTAATGACCAACTGTACATTTACTTCATTGTTCGATGTGGCAAAGAACTTTGGCGTAAGATAAATAGCTGAATGTCATGAAGCAAAGTTAAACTATCATAGCCAAAACGACAATGACATTGAACAACCAATCAGAGTTCAGATGCAAAAGTCGCATGATCGTTGAAAATTACATAAAAAAAATATTGTTAAAATGATATTACAATATATTAAATATTCCCATAGTATAACACTATATAGCTGTCGCTTGTGTTGTAAGAATGTATTAGTCAATACACAAATGATCTACAGAGAAATCACACCGTATACGATAGATGCAGTCATTCAGGCGACTGCAGATCATGGTAATTTGAGATCTATTGATATTTCTGAAATTGTAATTAACCTACTCCTAACTTTAAACACGATCCTAACTCCTAATCGTAACTTTAACCCTAAACCCTAATCTCGTATTCCACATATTCTGTAGGTACAGCTGCATCTATATCTTCCCCAACTCCAAAAAGGCAAGTATGATTCTAAAATGATTATTAGAAGTGGCCTTTTATAGCATTCCCAACATCTAATTGGTTCTCGAGGGTCGACTTTTGTAAAACCTTGACTTTAGGCATGGAACTTTAACTACGCCAAGTTGTGTTAATTTATACCTAACATATGTTACAACAATTCTGAACTTATTCTAACCTATGCATCGATAATGCCTTTTTATCTACCCACTATGTACTGAAATAACGCTGGTCGTGCTTAAGAAGAGCGCTGGGTGCTTAATTAATGCGAAAAAACCTTAAAAATAAGATTTGCATCTGAAGTAATGCTGGTCAGTGCTGAACATATCTTGTGAGGGCCGGAACAACGCTGACAAGCAAACCCAGTAGGTTCTGATCTACTCCTGAAAATGCCCAGAAGAAGAACAGCTGCTGAATGAGTGCCAGTCATGCTGAAAACCAGCACTGGGTTCTCTTCTGTGCGCTTTAAATAACCATTTCTGAACATATTCATAATTTACTCACTATAGAATGTTAGTTTTTTCAGAATTAACAAGATTTAATTCAGCATTATAGTAAGCTTGGGACCCAATATCCAATATCCTGATTACGAGCTAGTATAAACCAGTGATTTCTTTGAGCTCGCTTCATGATTGTAAGGTAGAGGTTTCAGATCTTCGGTGAACTTATGCGTAGTAAATCCCGCCACTCGACTGCTTTAGCTCTGGTAGACTCCAAGAGGAGTGGTGCGAGGATTGGTCAAGATTGTGGTTTGTAGTGTGCAGTATGTTAGGACTCAGCTGCTGTCGTGAATGGAGTTTGACGTAACACCCGTTGGTCATTCGGTGTAGTCAAAAGTAGAATAATAATAATAGGTTGTAGTGTAGATAATATAGGTTGAGATAAGTGAAATAATAAAGGTGAAATAATAAATAATAAAGGTGACCAAAGAAAAGATAGAGTAGTCGGTACAGTGAGAGAAGACAGGACGGGTCGTGGGGATTTAGCTTGTATGCTTATCCATTGACAATGTGGTTTCAAATTTTAAGAGGATAAGCCATTGAGACACAAACCATGCATTTCTGCGTGATTGTCCAGCTTCCACTTAAAAGTCTCCACAGATGGCGCTGTAGTTACGGCCGCCGGTAAAGCGTTCCAGAGACGGCAAACTCGAAGCGAGAAGAAATGTGAACGCACTCGAGTCTTTGGTCTCTGGTGTGCTATCCTTAGCGGGTTACCTCGTGCAAGCCTATAATCACTTAATGGCAGGATGCTCTTATTAGGGTGGGCCTGGTCATTTAAGATCTTGTAGACGGTGATGAGGTCTCCCCTGTGACTACGGTAACTAAGTGTGAAAAGACTTAATTTCTTCAGTCTTTCCTCATATGATTTGTTGCGAAGGCCGATCACCCATTTTGTCGCTCGTCTCTGGACATTTTCTAGCATGTTAGCATCCCTTTTGAGTAGCGGAGGAGCAATGATATTATGCACCTCAAGGAGTGGCCTCACGTATGTCGTATACAACGTTAGGAATAGTTCAGGAGTAAGAGCTCCCAGCTGCCTATGCATAAAGTGTAAAGTGGCGTAAGCTTTGGTGACGTCCCTCGTGTAATTTCCACTGGTGTCTAGCTTTTCTGTTAAAATAAGGCCTAGATCGCGTTCTGATGGCACACAACTCAAGTTCTGGCCACCAAGGGTGTAATTTGCACTCTGTGACCTGCCGGAATGAAGTTGCACTACTTTGCACTTCTTTAGGTTGAAAGGCATTCCGTTAGCCAGAGTCCAATCTCCCAGCGTTTGCAGGTCAGCCTGCAGTCTGTCAGTCTTCCGATGAGTTTATTGCTCTCCAAATCTTTACGTCGTCAGCGTAAAGAAGCGCAGAGCAGTTCAGTTGACAGGGCAGGTCGTTGATAAAAATCAAAAACATCAACGGCCCTAAGATATAACCCTGAGGAACCCCTGATGCCGAGGTGTGCCAGGATGATCGGATGCGGTTGACCTTGATGCAGAATTCTTTCACGCCTAAGTAATCTTTCAGCCGTGCGATAAGTGCTCCAGAAACTCCCGCCTTGCTTATTTTGTGAAGGAGCAGACCATGGTGAACTGTATCGAATGCTTTCGCAAAGTCGAGAAAGATCACATGGATTTATCATTATGCAAAATATACGTGACTTGAATAAAATTTAAACATCGAATCAGTCATAATCTACTAAAATCTTAAAATCCCCTTACTGATTTCGTAGTTTCAAATAGATTCCTCACAGTTACAGTATATAAGTCGAGATGATCATTGCTTCGTAACGCAAATGTACGAAACTTTGCGGTGTACGGCGTTCAATAAAAAACAGAAAAGCGATATAGGCAGATTTTGATTGGCTGTTGTCTAGCTGGCTTCTTATTGGTCTAAAATATAAGTTAAAATGGCAGTCTCTTTATTTTGACACGGAAATTTACAGTCAGTTTAATTTCAGGCTTAACTTACCATAATATAACGGCGTGTTAATTATTTTGGTGTGAGTGTAGTGTGATAGTCACACGCTATTTGGATGCATTTGTGGTATTTAAAGTACATTGAGGTGTATGAGAATGTCTACCAAGTGAATATAAATCAACAATAATCTTGATGCATTTATTTTAAGCTCAAAATAGGATGTATGCATTTTTACTTACTAGGCGAATATAATTCAACTACAATTTCTAAACATATAATGTGTCTTTAATTAGAACATATAGATAAATGTATGTATTAACTGATCCACTTTTTTAAGTTGTTAGTTTAGTGACCTGTGGGATTTGTGCATATTAGGTCAGCATAAATCAATTAAATTTACTAGGTCACAACAGTGGTTTATGAGCACTGAAATATATACTATTATTCATTTACTTGAAATTATAATGTTGTGTTCGTTAGTCATTGTTAAAACCATTACATGACGTTACAAGATACTCCTGCAGCCTCTACTTCACGAAATGTGTCATCTATATTGTCTGATGTAATGGCTACATTCCAAAGGATAATGCTTAGTTGTGTATTTTATACGTGGGTGCAAGTTAAGCAAGCTTTTGAAACATTTATGAAGGTAACAACTAAATTGTTCATTATTTCTTTGAAAGGAATCCAACACATCCTAACGGCTTGATTCAGGTAAAAAAGACCCAACTGACCCTATGGAATATAAGTTTGTGAGGTATGAATGCACTTTTGGAGGTATAGTTTAGTAAGCTTGGGACGCTTAAAATACCAACCTT